CTATTTACTAAATATATTAGTGAGGAATTGTCAAGAGTATATCAATATTGTCACATTTCAAAAAAGAGTACATAAAATATTTTCTAATTAATCAAACAAAGATATTGGGAGCAACAAAGGGTACATGCAATAAGGACATTGCAAAAATTGCAACAAAGGGTGAATTTTGGAGGTGTGCCTTAATTTGATTGTTTAGAGCCTCACCCTTAAGTAAACTTTTTTCTCCCCCTTCAAGCCACGATACAATGAGAAATAAACTGATCTTGGTGGTGGAAATTATATTGTAAATAGATCATGTGTAGCATAGCGAGAAAGAGGGACAGCGAAGAATTGTGTGTGTGGCATAGAGAGAGGGCAAGGAAGAACTCACTTGGTTTGTTGAAGAACTTTGTACGTGGCTCTGGCAACAAGAAGCAAGAACTCACCAGATTCATGCACTTCAGAGCAAAAAGAACAAAAACTTTAAGTAATCAACCATGTAATCAGAATTATCTAACACGCTTCGTTATATAAAATTTCTTCAAGAAAGAAAGCAAGGCCACTCGCAAGAAAACAAAGAGAGCAAGGAGAACAAGGCCCTTTACCCATATTTTCACCAATCCCTTAGTGGGGGTTTCTATTGGATACAAATAACCAATTTTATACACATATATAGCCAAGGCACCTTCAACTTTATTTTAACTAAGAGGCATTCAATAATTACTGATAAATAAAAAAATTAAATTAAACCAAATGACCTTTGATGCTTCGCATTCGATCTAGAAATGTGACAATTGCAACCAATGCTTTGGAATGGGCAAAACAATTTAGAACTCTAAATATAATCTTCTGAAAATACCCAAACACCCCTCCCCGCATTTTGATGAAATAATGCCCAAATAACTTCTATCAGTCTCACTAGTCAATTGTACATGAACCCACTTCCCTAAAAGAAGACAAATAAAATACATGAAGGCGACTGAAGAAATTAAATGAATATGACCAAAAATTCCATTTCTCAAATTCAAATTCGCAACAAAAAATTCATAGAACAGGGAAATGAATATTGAACCCAAATTGATTTCAAAAATAAAAGAAAAAGTGGCATTGTGAAATAGAGAATAAAAAAATCACATAAAACCAAATAATTGTATTAAAATTTCAATTGAAAGTCAGACATTATTTTTTCTATTAGGGAATTCAGCAGTATTCATTACAACTTCTTCAAGTTATAGATCCAAATAATAAAAATTGTGTAGTGAAACCCATTTATAACTATCTAATTCAATTTTCTTTCAGAATCAATGATAAAACAAAGTAATAAAATACAATTTAACCATTGTTTTCTTTGTTTTGGTGATTTAATTCAGAAGAAAATTGGGTAAAAGGGCCTAGAAAGCACACATACCTTGATTGAGTTAGCACAGGAGAGGGAAAAGGTAGGATCTGTTTAACCGCTGAAATGAAACATTAAAAAGATGGGTTTTGGGGATAAAAACATAGGGTGTTAAGACAAAAACATAGGGTTTTGCGTAGGTTTTTGGAAAAATTTGGGTTTTCTACAAGAGTAATAGAGAGATTTCACCCACTGTAAAAAAAACTTCATGAAGTAGGGTTAGATTGCGGCTTGGGTTCGAGTAAAAAAATCAAGATAATCACTCACCCGATTGATGCCCTAAACAGAGGAAGAGTGTGCGGCGTTTGTGGCAGAACCATAGCATCTCAGCGAGAGGTGAGGACGACAGAGATGACCGCGTTCGTGCTTCGCAGAGACGGGAGGAGACGAACGAGAAAGAATAGCTCTTCACTTCACATAGCAGAGGTGAGAAGAGGACAAGCCAAGAGGGGAACCTCGCAGAGAGAGGGGACGCCTCAAAGAGAGGGGGACGTCGCAAAGGAGAGGAAGCGGGAAAGAAGGGTAAAAGGAAATATTTTGAGGTTTGAAGCTTTTTGAGCCAATTAGGGGAGTTTCGTACGCGGAGTGTGCTCAGCTAATCAGGACCCTTCATTTAAATTTTTTTGAAAGGACCGTCGATAGGTTGGGGGCGAAATCATTGTAGATTCTCGCCTAGAGGCATTGCAAAGACTTTTCCTATATATATATATATATATATATATATATATTCTATAGTACTTCACCTACACTTCATCATCGTCCAAAGTTCATCACACGGTCACAAATTTTGGTAGTATTTGAATTTTTATAATTTTTTCAGCAATCAAATTTATATAAAATTTGGGGCGTGTGTACATATGATCAACTCGCATCAAAATAAAATATTAAAAAAATTATAGTCATAAAATAAAATAATGAAATTACCCCTGAAACTTTATAGGGGTATTTTACGTACTTT